GCCACATGAGAGACGTCCGTAGAAATAGCCGCGGGTGTGACCGAACGTCTACCCTAGGTTGCAGTTCTTTAAACAGGGACGGAACCCTGTCCAGTGCATTCCGCACGATCAAAATTTTTACAAGTATTTTATATGCAAATGTCTATACCAATATACATAATTGTCAAACATGTTGTAACATGCTCAAAAGTCATATAAAATTCCATATTTGAGTTATATTTCTTCAGGAAAAAAAATCTAGGCTCATCCGACCTACGACGAAGGCCCTCAAGGGGACGCAGCCCTAAGGCCGATAAGAACAACAGCACTAAAGCTGCTATACGTGGCAAAGGATAAGATTTTGCAAATTCAAGAAACTAATCAAGATCCGCTGCTATCTGGACAGTTTAAACAAGCTATTCTACTAAATGGCGCCCAACGTGAGGCCTTGCTGTTCTATAAGCCAATACCCGATATTTTAGTTCCACGACAGTCCGAGCTATCGTGCAAATCGGAAAAGCCAATCTTGCTGTACCACGACAATATCAAGAAGTTTTGATGATACATATTCAATGATGCACGCAATAATCTACATTTTTGCGGTTGGGTTAATATTTATCATTTGCCGTTATAACGAATTAATATTTCATTACATTTTACGAAGACAACATTTGGTTGTCACGAATACTTTTTCCAGCTGCTACTTTTCTTAATTTAACAGATGCTGATTTGTATACCAGCCCATGAAGTGTTCATCGACTACAGTATTGGCGGGTAATGAAATTACTACCACTAGACTCCAAGTTGGGTGGAAGTTGTCCACAATGATAGATTTGTACGTTCAATGCTAGCTGTCAAGGAAAATTGGAACAGCATAGTGGATTCAAGAGGGGATTCCAAGTAGGTTTAAATATATAAGACTAAATGCTGTTGCAGTCAATCTTCCCATATCTACCATAGAATAAAATAAAAAAATGAGCTTTTCAGCCGAACACTGTGTGCGTGTCTTTTGAATCCATTGCACGGCCTCTAATTTTGTTGGGAAAAAGTTGAAAAATTTACGGCCTGACTTGATTTTGTTTGAGATTTAGCAATTTCGAAACCCATCTTGTTGAAATTATTTTATGTTATGTAGACCTGTTCAAATGCTTGATTTAGATATTTTTAATGTTTTAGCAATAGTTGACTCTTTCAAACGATGATCTTCGAGAGCTGTTTTATCCACTTGGCTGCAAATATCCAAGATTGGTGGCGTTTGAAGGTTGTCAACTTATTGAGTTACCTTCAATGGAGTCAGGACCCCATCGAAACTCTCTTAATTTCTCTACTTATTTATAGTTGTTATTTATTTCGTAATTTGTTTGAAAATTGCTGTTCCTTGGAAAATTTTTGGAAAGTAAAAATGCCGGTTTTTTATGAAATTTGAAGGATTTACTTTCAAAACTTTTTTTCCTTTATAAATGCATTATTAGATATCTCTACCTACGTATAAAGAGATATAAAAAATTGTTTTTGAGGGCAGAAATTACGTTTCTAGGAACTGTTAGTAAGTATACGGAATTTAAATGAATTATCTCCTTCCAGTTCCTATTACCTAGACAGAAATCTTTTCTTTTTGTGTGTTTTTTTTTAGAATTCAACACCCTCAGTAACTATACTTCAAATGAATTTCAGAATTTGTCAAAATTATCCCAGTATAATTCCAACTCCAATTTGGTTCTAAATAATACTGTTAAAAATATTTCAGGAGACAATTGACTTTTTTTAGGCTACCCCAATAATTAATTTTCATTTTCTGGTGTGGTAAATAAATGATTACTAAATCAATATGTGTAACGACTCATAGAGATAACTAAGATGAGTAAAATCAAATCGCTCTTTACATTAATCTTGTTCCTGCCCATGTACACGAAATATATTCATAATTTATATTAGATATATTTAGACACATAATCATAAGCACGTAATTGCCGACGGAATTAATTAATCTTGAGTAACAGCATTAAATGGTTGAATTAATTGAATATTAATTGAAGAAAATGTAAATATAGAGATAAAATTAAACTCCATTGTTTAATATTAACGCTGTACACCTTATTAATAACGAGCAGTTGATAATACAAATAACCTTATACAATTTTATATACAGGGTGGTCCCATACTAGGATTACAAATCAATAACATAATAAATAGAAGAACAAATGAAGTAGGTACAAATGTTTTAGATATTATTTATATAAGAACACAAACACGCAGATTAATTTTTCTTAAAAAATAATTATAGTTAGTTACAATAATTTTTTAATAATAATGTAGGTAATACAGATTTTGCTGATTGCTTAAGTAATAATGAGAAATAATATTACAGACACCAATCAATTGAATCTAATGCAAAAACTAAAACCTAGTCATTTTAAAATAAATAAACCTCCGAAATAATACAAAGGGCGTATTTTTCTGATGTGACAAGTTTTCCAATGTCCAATTTTCCTATTAGCACAGAATTTTTAATTTTGTGTATAAAATTACAATGTCATTGCTAAAACAATACTGAAAAATTGGTAGAATTTAATTTTGGCTTGGATTATGTCAATGTTATTTAGAGAACTAAATAAAGCAGGATGTTCTAGCACAAGCTCACAATTTTAGCAATAACTTGAAAACGAAAAAGATATCGACCTCCGGTTTGTGTATTTGTTTTCCATAATGAATCAAGCCATGAAGAAAAACTTATATATCGTTGCATTTAATTTTTTTAGTAAACGGAGACAATTACAAAACTTTTCCCATTAGCGTCGTCTACCGTTGCGCAGGAAAATAATATTTTCATTTCTATATCATAAAAATAAATTTTATTAATAGTTCTTTAAAATGAGCCATCATTTATTGAAATCGATTAAGGTATTTAGAAGTTATGACAATTTAAAAATTTCAAGATAGCGTCCAACTGACGTTGCTATGGTAATAACAAAAAAAAACAAACAAAACTTGTGAAGAGTATAACAGTGTATCTAAAAAATGTATTTGCAACTTAGGTTATATATTATTTTTATTATTATTATTATTAACGGTGAAGTTACAAACTTGAAAATATTTTAAATCAATTTATTTTGGTCGTATTTGTTAATAGATTTTTTACCCCATAAACGTAGCACGTCTGCTCGATACCGTTAATGGATCACCCTGTATTCATTATTTTATTTAGGTAGTTAAAACAGCGTGTTATATAATAATGCCACAAATGAATCTAAACATGTCTACTAACACAGTTCTCTACACATGCGCAGTAACACCACATCGAGCGATTACATTGGTTGAACTAAATCAGGTCGTGTAAATTCGCACTTTTATTTATATATTTACATTAAATATAGTAAAAACAAATAAAGGATTAAGAATAATACATTTTAAAATGTAAAAGTNAATTTCGAAAAACCGACAATTTTCTGTAACACTATAGCAGTTGCGCCCCCTAGCGGTGAAGTTACAAACTTGAAAATATTTTAAATCAATTTATTTTGGTCGTATTTGTTAATAGATTTTTTACCCCATAATCGTAGCACGTCTGCTCGATACCGTTAATGGGGCACCCTGTATTCATTATTTTATTTAGGTAGTTAAAACATCGTGTTATATAATAATGCCACAAATGAATCTAAACATGTCTACTAACACAGTTCTCTACACATGCGCAGTAACACCACATCGAGCGATTACATGATTGGTTGAACTAAATCAGGTCGCGTAAATTCGCACTTTTATTCATATATTTACATTAAATATAGTAAAAACAAATAAAGGATTAAGAATAATACATTTTAAAATGTAAAAGTACAACGTAAAAGGTAAGATTTTTTTTATTATGAATTTAACTATTTACTAGAAATAATATATAAAATGTGTGTGATAATATTAGCTGACAGGACTGAAAAAGTCACCGTTTCGTTTCAGATTTCTCTTTCGTATCGTCGCTGTTCCCTCAATTGTTCTCCTCAATCAATACGACGTGAGAGGAAACATCCCCTCACTTTTTATATTATATGCCTTGTCGTAAATCAGACAACGAACCCGAATCTACGCTAGGGAACATTCGAGCTCTTAAGGACTTGTGGTTAGGAACAGAAACATTATTTTGTATGTTTATGTTGGCAAATGTACATAATTTGTTTGCTGTGTCGAGTGCGAAAAGAAATTGGGAGAGGGTTTTATATTCTTTGAAGTGCGAACAGTGTTTGATGCTTATTTATGATGAAATATGAGATACTTTAGATATCAGCATGAAGTTTTCTGTAAAATAATGCAGCTTTTCAAAAGTCATTTCAAATTCCTCTTAAATTTATCATGATTGGGAATCGTGCTAGTAGATAAAATATGTCAACCGTGAAAGGCATTTTTATATTAGTATTTTTTAACAAACGTGTTACTATTTTTGTAAAAAGTAAAGTAAAAAACCCACCAGAGATTATTGGTACACAGCGTGAGCCTGAAGGACTGTTATGGTCAGATAAACATACAATTGAATAAAGAATCCTTGAAAGGGATTAAACAAGTTTCCAACGAAAAGTATAGAAGATTTTGTAACAAAACTGCTAAAAAATGGCATATAGTTTGTGTATACCCAAATATAGTTTGCAAACACATGTAAAATTATGAGAAAATATTAATGAAAAATGTATTGAAGTATACAATCTAACAATAGCAGCTTTGTAGGTGTTTCTGAAGTTGACCTTTAGTGATTAATGATTAATTTTTTTTAGTTCCTAGTGAAGTAAAATCAGTTTCAGGAATATTTCTTTTCAAGATCGTCGTTTAATTTCTCGAACATCTTGCTCTTAACTATGAACACTATAGAAGTCGGTTTTAGTTGCGGTGCTAAACTGTACCATTTGACAGATACTTTGCCTCATTTGACAGTTTTGATTGAATATTCAGAAACAATTATGTCAAATTTTTCGTACTTATAATATCTTCTACTCTCAACAATAATATAAAAAATTGTACAGTAACATAACGGCGTCAAGATGTCTCTATCCAAATCAGGCACAGAACTGGGCGATATGGTGTCGTTGGCAGTATTTTGCAAAATCGACAGTACCTTTATGTTGACCGTGGAGAACAATGAACATTGGATACCCAGCACGAAGGTACCACAGGGGCATTCTTGGGAAAAAACTATATCCAAGGACTTGGTGGATGTAAGTAGCTCGTGCTTCTGTATTTCTACTCATATTTTATTATGTCAGCATGTGTAACTCAGCTGATCACTGTAATAAATTTTTAGTATCTTAACCATTGGAAAAAGGTTTCTACAGCTATGAATTAATAAAAGCATATATTTTTTCCATTTCGTAATATATTTTGCTTTTTATTATACTGACCCCTTGATTCAAATCGTTTCTTTTTCATTCTAGATGTTCAAAATCACTCATCCAGATAAGATAGCCAGGCTGTGGAAAATTTGGATACCTCGACAGACAGAGTCAATATTCCATTGCGTTTATCAAAATATAGTGGACAGTGACGAGAAAAATAGAGCAAAAAATACCATGGGAAAGGTATAGTTTTGTCCAGTCTATGTGCATTTGTCCGTGTACGTATAAACCGGTAAATGTTCTTTTATTTCTTTTTTTAATTCAGTCTGGGTACAGCACAGCGTATTGGTGACATATAACCTATAAAGCATATGTAATATGTCAAACATGTTATATTTTTTAAATATCATTGTTACTTTGTGTCTTCTGCCACCTGTATCTACTGACACAAAGAAGGATGTGGGTCTGGTTAAGATTCGTTTATCGCAAAATCCAGGCTATTTTCAAAATACGTTACACTTATTTTCACATTACCTGTTGGGACAGCAATCTAGGTAACCATGGATCCATGGGAACACATATATAGTGTGTTTTCATTTTCAAGTATATGTTTGATATTGTGAAGAAGAATAATGTATACAAATCAAGAAAGAGTTGATATGGGTAAAGCCTACTGTTTGTCAGAAGAAAACCATACTACTGCAAGAAGGCGATATCAGATGGATTATATTTACCGACAGGTAACAAACTCAGAAAGTGAGAAACTTACAACCAGAAATTTTAAGCACCATGGAAATAGATCCTGGTTGGATGTCACACTAGCTTATCTAGTGACGGAGTATGAATATTACGAAAAAAAGGTTAAAAAAGTTTTCACAGCGGATTTTAACTAAACAAACTAATGACGTGTTTCTACCGGAAATTCCACTTAATTTGCACATAGTCTCAGCTACACACTCTCCGTACGTCAATGAATTTTCCAATCTTCACTCGCTCGTCCATCGTAAAGCGTTTAATTTTGTCTAACCTCAACCTGTTTACTACAGCATGTGACTATGCATAATGCTGACAACTTTTCGGAATGAAAATGGCGCATAATTCAAATCCTGCATTACTTTTCGAACACCCTTTATATGCTTGTTTTTATATCATTTATTATTATGAACATAATGGAATATATATTTTGTAAAATATAGAATTCCATTTGTCATAAACAGTTTTATTTATCAACTAACTTCATTATCCATAATACCAAGACGGTTTTTAGTAGAAAAATAATTATAAAAAGTTTTATACAGGGTGATAAAGGTCACAAATGGTGACCAAAAATTCAATTGGTTTTTTAAGTTTTACTCGAAAATCGGGCTTTTTTCGAAACACACAAGAGAGTAGTAATTTGTAGAAAATTGAAAGACGAGTTCGAATATATCATGGTTGTTACCATAAGGCAGTGACGTACTCTTTTATTTAGAAAAATATGCCACCGATACCCTGTATCTCCGCCACTGGAGCATGTAAATTTTAGGAAAAGTCCTCAGATTTTGGATACTGTTTACATAAATGTATGTGCCCAATTTCGAATTATTTCACTCACTAGTTTTTAAATTATTTTAAGAAATTGAAAATATTTTTTAATTTTTAAGTTTAACACCCTGTATCTTTTTAACAAATCGTCGTAAATAAAAACTTTATAGGAAAGACTCCCCTTAAAATTCACTAAAGAATACGAGGTTTCATTTACAGTCACCAATTTGTGAATCACCCTGTATAGTCGAGAGTAATACTTCTTCGAGAAGAAACTCAACATTTGCGAATGAATGAAAATGATAATCTAGAAGTCGAAGATGTTGAGTGAATGAGGTTTTATTGTTAACAGATATTTTTTAAGTGGAAATTATATTTGTATTATACAGGGTGCATCTTAATTCCACAGATAAACTTCTACAGGGTGTTCCTTGGTAAAAATTAACACAATATAAAATGATCAATTCTGTATAGCAGCTTGAAAATGGCCTTCTAAAGTTGGTTTTTCCTAAATATCTTTTAAATTAGTTGAGTTGACTACTAAATTTTTAACACACTTTTGGCTATTGATGTTTACAGATACTCGCAAAGAAATGCTTGGGATCCATTTTTTATAGCCACTTTAACAAACATATCTCGACTATAATTGTACCTTGGAAAATGTTTTGTCCTTAGTAATAATAATTCTTGTTATATGATGATGACGATATTTTTTAATTTTTCTCTATGTATGTACCTACTTTAACTAAATTTTTTCAGAACTATAAATATTTTCAATAACCACCTCTCATTCGTACAAGAGGATCTAGATTTATAGTTTTCAAGAGACAAAAAAAATCGGGATATTTTTAGCAAGGTCTCGCGTGACCCATTTATTTACGAATGAAATGAATCAAATCAACTAAAATATTTGTCCTAGTTTGTTGTGTCACTTCAACTATTTAAGATATTTAAAAATCATTATTAATGGGTTATCTTCAAGCTGCTATATCCACACAAGGATTCAAATTTAGTTTATTTCTGCGTGAATTTTTATCCAGGAACACCTTATAGAAATTTTTCAGTTGAATTAAGGAACACCCTGTATATTAATAAAGCTGCAAAACAATAAATATTTTTTTACTATTTACAACATACTGAATTCATAAACATTCATCCTGCGTCGATTTAGCGGAAAACAGCTTCCAAATTACTATCCGTTTCATTTCGTACTTGCAATGAAACTTTATTTACCATAATTTTTAGTACAGGGGAAAGCTGCGGTGGGTCACGGAGACCGAACTCATAAAGCTAACAACCAGTAACAGCCTGCGGAGTCCCGAACTCCTAGACATCTTCTACTTAGTCAGAGATGGCACCATCCACGATCGGTTCGTCCCCAGTGACGAGTTCATAGGGCACGAAAACTTTTTCGAAACCTGCCAGGAACTGTTGTCGCCCGGCAAACCAGGCCCCTACAGTCAGCTGGTGGACGCATCAGGGATCGATAAGTTAGGTAAGATTTGGCGTGCAGGAAGCTGTAATAAAAAAAGTTTAGCAAAGGCTGGTAGAAGTACGTTTCGCTGGAGCCCCTCGTAGCCGTTTCGACAATACAGGATGGCTATTCGACGATAATTTCTTTATTTTTTTCGGAATATATATGGAGAGAGTGATTAAGTAATGGAATGTTATTTTTACATCGGTTTTGAAATACGATGGTGATTAGTGATGTTAATTTCTGTATCTACAACTTTCGTGACTGATTTGACCCAACAAACTAATAAAAAGGAATAAGTATATCATGAGCCCTAAACCTAACGAAAGGGAAAAACATGGCAAACGGAAATCCGGGTATGCCGATGTAAACACAGGCATATTAAATATGTCAAAATAAAAACTTTTTATTCTTGCACTTTTTTGTCTAAAATGCATCCTTGAGGAGTTATTGGCATTTAAATAATGCTCAAAATTTGTTAAAAATGAACTCCATAAGGAGGCATTTTTAAAAAAGTACAGGAATAAAAAGTTTTTGTTTTGACCCTATTAACACGTATGTGTATTTTAATTTCAAAATCTTAACTATTTTATTAAAATTTCCACTTAGTTTGAGCTATTTTTTTGAGGCTAGAGAAAAATCGTGACATGATGGAGCATTTCCGATGTCTCCATCATCTTCAGCGGGTCAAAATACAGGGGAGTTTCGTATTCTGTCAAAAAATATATGAAAAAAATATTTTTTTGTGTAATAGTAATTTGAGGTAAAGGGTAATTCTTGACTACATAAACGGTATCAGTACGAATGGGAGAAACAGGTGCTAATGTCGTTGATAAATTAAGAAAAAAGTAAAGGGCCGAAATGAGACCCCTGTGGTATACCTGATGAAATTTTGACAAAATTTTAAACATAATTATTTATTTTGCACATATGGATGCGTATGGTTTTATCCACCTTACAAGACTTACAAACCCAGGTTCTTGTAGGCACATTTAACTATAAAATCCATATGCTGTCTGAAAGAAAGTTTTGGATCGAAATAGACTCCTAGGTCTTTAATAACATTTGGCCGAACTAGGCTGGACCCATGTAATCGGTAGTCATACGAAATTTGCCTCAACTGCCGACTGAAGGACATGACATTGCATTTTGCCACATTAAGAGGTAATCTATTGTCAGCGCACCAGGAGTTTACCAAATCCAAATTTCTCTGCAGATTACGTGCATCACGTTCATTGGCTATGGGACAAAATATCTTCATATCATCCGCATATAATAGGAAACGCACATCCAGATCCAATGCTATATCATTAATAAAAATCGTAAACAACAAGGGCCCCAGGACAGAACCTTGTGGAACCCCTGAGGATTGAGCAAATTCCAATGACCTTTCTCCCATAATCTGGACAAACTGAGTTCTGTCAGATAAGTAAGAGGCCATGAGCTCCAACAATGAAGAACCCAACCCCGCGGAATCTAGTTTCGACAATAATAAACCGTGGTCAAGACGGTCGAAAGCCTTCGAAAAATCCGTGTACAAGACATCCACCTGACCTCCCCTATCAATCACCTCATGGATATACTGCGCCATACACGCCAAATTGGTAACCGTGGAACGCCCTTCAACAAAACCATGCTGCTCCGGTAGGATAATATTTCTAAGGTGAAATGACAAAATATTATGTAGGGCTGTTTCAAAAATTTTACCGAAATTACATAGTATTGCAATTGGTCTATAATTTTTTATGTCATTCCTGTTATCTTTTTTATATATGGGACAGATTTTCGAAGTTTTCCAACGATCGGGAAATGTATGAGTGGACAGTATTCGGTTGAATATTATAAGAAGAGGCTTGGCAAACACAGTAGCACAATCTTTGATAAGAAAGGCAGGTATGAGATCGGGACCCATGGTCATTTTAGGTTTTAGTTTTTTTATGGAATTAAGTACATCGTTGTGTGAGAAAATTACATCAGAAAGAGCATTGGTATTAATATTAAAATTGGTGCTGCTCAAAGGATCACTATTGTCACTGTTTACGAATGAGGAAGCAAAGTAGTCAGCAAAGGAATCAGCAATTTGTTTAGTATCATTTAACGACATGTTGTCGTATGTCATGATATTTGGGATGGTTGGATTACCTTTCTTAGCGTTAACAAATGTCCAGAATTTATTTGGACTGTGTTTTAATTGATGTTCAATATCAGCGATATATGTGTTGTAGGCCAGTTTACTTTTGCTTTTTACAGCTGATCGCAAACGTTGGAAATTTATATGATCCTCAGCATTTGAAGTGGAACGGTACTTCTTCCATGCCCTCGCTTTTTCATTAATGGCAACAATTAGGTCTCTGTTAAACCAGGGTGGGTAGGATCTTTTTGAAGGTATCTTTTTGGGAACATATTTCAGAAGAATGGAGTTTAAGGTTTCATAAAACTGAGAAACAAGATCGTTGACAGATGTGATTTTTTCCATGAAGGACCAGTCAGTCAAAGTAAGTTCGTGATACAAGGCAGGGAAGTTCGCTTTCCTAAAATTAATATTTGAACTTAGTTGTGTTCTTATTCTCTTAACATTATTGGGAACAAAGAAGTCTATTAGTAAAGCAGGATGATGAGGATCCTCCGGCAACAACACGTCAGAAGAGTGGAAAACGGAACATCTGACATTAGAGAGAACGAGGTCAAGAATCCTGTTATTGTGATTTAGAATATTGTTGTATTGATGGAAGTCATAAAAGTTTATAAAATTATTTAGTAAATGAAGTGGAGATTGTTCAGTAAGAGTGGTATTATTAATATAATTAGGCAAATTAAAGTCGCCCACCACAACAATATCGGAATCATATATCACGTACATAGATTCAAAAGCAAAAAATAGCTTTTCGTAAGTATCCGTTGTTGTTTTAGGAGGTACGTAGATTACAAATATGTACAAATTGCGATTTTTCGTAATGTTAACTTTTATAGAAATAATATCAATAGAGAAGAGATCCTGAAATATTTCGTATTGCAGCTTATGATCAAATTTGCAAGCATTAAAATGCTTAGCAATAGCCAATAAAACACCCCCACCTCTACTAGAATTAGTATGAATAGAATCACGATCAGAACGAAAAACATCATAGTGATTTGTGTTAATTAATTCACTATTATGAAAATTATCGTTCAACCAAGTTTCTGCGAGAGCGATTATGTCGAATAGACACACGGAACAATCCATCAGTAATTCAATTGTGAAAGCAATGACAATTTTCCTTTCTTGAAATTGAATCAATACTTATTATATTTTAAGGACAAGAGGCATTGCTGATAGACTTCATCACGCTGACTTTTCCTGCAAACTATATGAACTTCAGGATATTTTGTAAGGTGCTCACAGACTTAGGATGGAGCAAAGAGCTACTACCACATGCATTCAGGTAAATTATATGTAAAGTCGAATTTTGAATTTGGTTTCGATTTACATATTTTACTCAGATATATGTATATACAGGGTGTCCGCAAATTTCACCGGCAACGTTTGATTATATATTCACGGCTATAAATAAATATAACGTAAGAAAAGAAGTTAAATAAAAACTTTTTGGTTTTTGAGTTACAGGCCTTCAAAGTTGTCAAAAATAAAACTAATTTAATTAATAAATTCATAATCCTTTTACCGATCGTGTCAATATTTGGCACATTTATTTGGAGTATGGCGTATTATTTTTTAAAGCTTTAGTCAAATCGATATACTGTTACATCTTCCTTTTAGTGGTCATAACTTTTACAGTGGTCGTATTTTTTTAAAACGGGCAGCAACATTGAAAAGGTCGTTTTATTTAAAAAAAATTGTCACTTGAGAAAATCGCCTGCAGAAAGCCGTTCTTGAGAAAAATGGCATCATTTGCAAGTCTGTATGTTTCGGTTTGTGTAGCAGTGTCAAGGATTTAAATCTTTGAGTTTAGTCCTATTTGTACCAGTAGAGCAATCCTCATTATTCCGAAAAATGATAAAAACTGTGGAAATGTAAAACTAAAAAATAAAAATAAATAAATAAACTTAGCTAGGCGCTAATGTTTCTCAAAATTTATAATTAGTTTAATAGAAAAAAATAAAGAAACTATAGTACGATCGTATACGATGCAAAGTAGAGCAAAAAATTGTCGGTCTTTTATCAAAGGAAAATCGTGTCATCATTTTTAGGAGGCGTAAGATGAACCGTTTCAAATTTAAAATGAAATTGAATGTAAAATCTGAAATACCGCCGCATACGCACTGTGTCCTGGTACTAGCTGTAGTCGGCCAGGTGCATCGAGTGTACGAAGTGGTCGGTTATACGTCAAATACTAACCTGGCGAGCTTGATCGTAGAGCAGGGAACAATAAACAGTGGCGCGTACAGAGGTGAAATGTAGTACATATGTGGAATTTAAATAACGAATTGGATTTATAATAAATTACATTTAAAACAAATAGTTTATGAGAATAAAGGGATTTTTGTAGGAACAGGGTTCCAGACGTGAACTGATCTCTTCATCGCACCCCATTACGATTCTTTTTTTTATAAGGAGAACGAAGTTTCAAAGCAAAAACCTTGTATAACAGATATACTATAAATATTTACAGAATGAAAACAAAATATAAATCCTATGATATGATTCTATCAAATGAAAACACTAACAACAATTCTCTACCAATCTCAACAAAATAAGTTATTTTTCTATCAAACAAGAAATGTTAACAAATTATAAACAAAATATAAATTCTATGATTTATGTACTGTACGCCAAACTGCATTTTTCTCATCTTCATTTAATATTAATTTCTTCTTTGCACCCCCTTTTTTAGGTTTCTTAACGTCTCCTTCAATTTTCTTCTCTCTTAAAATTTTGAAAACAGATAATTCGCTTACTCCAGTATATCTAGAACACATTTCCACCAAACCAGTCTTCAGTTTCATGGGATGATCCTTTTCTAAAGGGTTATAGACATTTAATATTATCGTTTTTTCTCTGTAACTTAATATAGATTTTTTTGTACCCACAGCAGTACATCCGGCTCGCGAACATCCAGGCACCGCCTCCATTTATCCATATAACGACAACAGAGCAATAATAATACAAAAAACTTCACTTCACTAGCACAGAAAATATAATAGCATTCACGATTCACAAACAACAGCCCGAAACACACACACAGCACACAAATAAAACACTAAAAACACTTTTGTTACGGAGCACAAGAAATATGATTTCACTCACAAATTCTCAAATAATAGCGCGAAACACACATATAGCCCGAAAGAAATATAATTGCACTTATAACAGTTATAACCTCACAAATATCGCGAGCGAGAAACACGCAGCACCAATACAACCGAAACGAAACTGACCACGCCAGGCCGGCACGCGCGCCGCCGCAAAAAACACAAGACACAAGTCATATGAGGGATAATGAAGGGAGTAATAAATGTATTGTTGTCCTGCCGCCCAATGTGCGAAGGAGATGCCTTTGTTTTTCATTTTGTCCTTCATAAATATATAACTGTTAATCCATAATGCATAAAGAAATTATTCAATTTCCAAAACCCCCTATAAAATGTGTTGCACTGATTCCCTTGACAGGCAATGATTTATTACTTTGCATCGAATACGATCGCACTATAAATACATAATCTACAAATAGTATAGTTTTCCTATGGTACTGAAAAAATGTATGTTTTTCTAGGGCGGCAGATATGAGTAACAGAAATGGATTGTCCTTTCGGGACTATCTGTACTTTTTATCGGCTGTGGATCCTGTTACAGTACACGGTGGAGTACAAGCTGAACTACGTTGTAAATATATGTTCAGGTAATTTACAAGGAAATACAACATCAAAAGTTTGTAACTTTGTCTTATAGACTTGTGTACAATTAGTATAGCTCTTCCGAAGTCAGTTGAAAATGCATAAAAAAACCGAGCAATCAAATTTAATGAGTTTCATGGGCGTCCCTAAAAAAGTTTTCTGCTAAAGGTAGAAAATTATAATAATTTGTATATAATGTGTAGAAAATTTCTATTATACGTTCATTTGACCAACAACATATTTTAATTATTTATGCCCTCAAACAATTTTATTATATTGAGAGTAAATTTCGTTTTGTTCCATTACAAAAGGTCTCCAAAATGCCATGTTGTAATAATATTAGTAGTAGTACCAATTATCCCTCTTATTTTTCCCTTTCGCAATTGTAATATGAATAATTAATAGAAGGGTGCCTATAATAAATTAAAATTACTTGAATCACACCAAATTCCGCATTGCTGCACTGCACTGCTGGGCGACTAGTCGACAACTGAATTTTGACAACGCAATGGACCAGAGAAACAGTGCGCATTGCTCTTTGCCCACACGCTCATTCTTCAACTGAGCGTATACATTTCTACCACCTGCACTTTTCGCTCGACCAGATCTGTATATGGGTATGGCTAAATAAATGTGGGAACAAGTTTTTCAAATATTTCAATGCCGAGTTGCTGCTTAGCGACCGTTGTCTGGTACATACCTTGAAGATATTGGTTCTTCAATTGACTTCGGAAAAACTATAACTGTTTAGGCATCAGTTTTTGATAAGTGTACAATATGTGTGAAATTCAGTGTAACCATCTGATTAATTAACCAAGTCTTAACCTGTACTCAAAATACTGATCCTAGAGGTGTTGAATTTGAAAAATACGGTTTTTGTTTATTTCTTGAAATACAATATCTTTTGGAATACAAAATAACAGATGCTACTGAATTTTTAACGTTAAGAAATGCTCAATAAATAACAGTTCCCTTATTAATGGACTACTCGAACAAAACTGTATTCTGTAGTTATGTCCTTTAATCCAGTGCTATGGTCTATTCAGTTTTCCTCTAATATGAATATTATAATTATAAATATATACGTTTATTCTTGACAATTTAATTTATAACGAGCGTTCAAATAAAAACGTGGTGAAGTTGGTTCAGAAAATTTGGACGTAGGGCGTAGCGTATAGCAAATGAACTTAAACGTCATCTGTCAAAGCGGTATATCGCCGCTATCAATTTGAATATTTTCGTTTTAAAAAGCGTTTAAAATGGTGTTTTCTCAAGAACAAAAAGTGTTTATCATAGAGTCCTACTTTAGAAATGGACGCAAGATTGATGGAATATGGAAGTATTCTATTGAGGAATGTTTCATAGAATTTCAAAATCAATTTCCCGGCGTTGTTGAGTACAAAATTTTTCAAAGTGCAGTTCAGCGTTGTGTTAATGTTTTTCGTGAAACGGGCAGTGTAACAAGAAAAGAAGGAAGCGGCCGACCTAAAAAGCGGACTGAAGAATTAAAAGAAAATGTCCAACAAATAATGGAAAATGCGCCAAGAACTTCTGTACGTGTTTTATCACAAATGGTGGGAGTATCAGTCGGTACCTGCCACACAGTGTTAAAAAAAGATTTGCGTTTGTTCTCCTATCGTTTAACTTGTCAGCAAGAACTTCATGAAGTTGATTTTCCGCGACGGGCTGTATTTTGTGAATGGTTTTTAAACAACTACGGTGAACTTCATAATATCACCTTTTTTTCTGATGAAGCCTGGTTTCATTTAAGTGGTTACGTAAACTCACAGAATATGAGAATGTGGTCTTCTGAAAAACCAGATAACTTTTTTGTCGAGGGCCCTCTACACGCTCAAAAAATTGGAGTTTGGTGTGCTCTCAATCGAAGGAGGATTTATGGACCTATTTTTTTTAATGGTACTCTTACTGCGCAAAGGTATAGAGAAGAAATTATCGCTCCTTTTGTTAACCAGCTGGAAGAAAACGAAATTACAAACTTTTACTTTCAACAAGATGGCGCAAGGGCACATACGGCAGGCGAGACGATGAATATGTTGAGGGAAGTTTTCCAAAATCGACTAATAAGTCTCAATGCTGAACATGAATTTCCACCGAGGTCATGTGATATTACGCCGTGTGATTTCTTTTTGTGGCCTTACCTTAAAAACACTATTTTTGAACTGCCTATTCCTGATTTAAACCATCTGCAGGCTCGACTTATAGACAAGATTCGTGAAATTAACAATACCCCGAGCATCTTAGAAAATGTCTTTAATTCTTTGAGGAACAGGTGTGAAAAGTGCTTGGAACAAGGAGGGGGACACTTTCAGCAGCTGCTTTAATTTATTGTTATAACAAGGAGGGGGACACTTTCCGCAGCTCCTTTAATTGTTTGTTATTGTTATCTCGATTATTCTTTAAAATAAAGTTATATAGTCATTACGTTATTGAAACTGACAGCTGCTATACAACTCGTTGAGAAATGAGGTTAAGTTGGTCGCTATAAGCTACTCCCTACGTCCAAGGTGTCAGAGCCAACTTCGACCACGTTTTTATTTGAACGCTCGTTATATAAAAAATCCCATATGCCATAATGCAATTGTCAGTTTGACAGCGGCAAAAGTTACCTACAAAGTTTGCAGCGACAAATGTACTAGTGGTTTTTTTCATTTATTAATTTTTTTCATTCATTTCGAATATTTGCCAAATTTACACAAATCTTAAATAAAGACGAAAGTTGCAATATGGCTATTGATTAAGGTCCAACAATTTCAATACAGTACAAAAATCATGTAGCACATTATATATTACCGCTTTGCATTATTTCAATTTTATGACACCAAAAATCTGTACTAGGTAAAACATGTAACATTTGCTTTATACAAAAATGTGATTTTATGTATAGGACCTTTTGACTTTGTTGCGACAAACACACTTATCTATACAGGGTGATTCACAAATGGTGGGGAGTTTTTATCTTTGTTAAAAAGATACAGGGTGTTAAACTTCAAAAAATATTTTTAATTTTTTTAAATAATTTAAAAACTAGTAAGTGAAATAATTTGAAATTGGACATATGTATTTATGTAAACATTCTCCAAAATCTGAGCCTGATTTTCGAGTAAAACTTAAAAAACGAACTGAGAACACACTTCGATATTGGAATATAATGCTTACATACATAGTGGGCTGCGATAGCAATTCTGAGCAGTTAGAAGAAAGATTAAATCATGATTTTCATCAGATTCGAGCAACAATAAATTTCAAACAAATTACATTTTCGTTACTATAAAGATGTCGTGCCCGTGTTCGTTTAAATGGAGGTATTTTTGAGCATTTACTCAAATAAAATCATTAAAATGATGAATAATATTATTAATTTCTTTATTCAAACAAATGATGAATGATTAGTGCTTGTCAGGTCATTTAAATAAAAGTGTTTTCAGTTGTATTTTTTAAGTGTTACTCGAAAATCAGGCTATTTTTGAAGAACATAAGACAGTAGCAATTTGTAGAAAATTGAAAGACGAATCCGAAAATATCATGATTGTTACCGTAAAGTAGTGCCGTACTATTTTATTTAGTAAAATATGCTACCGACACCCAGTATTTCCGCCATTGGAGCATGTAAATTTTAGGAAAAGCGCTCAGATTTTGGACAATGTTTACCTAAATATATGTGTCCAATTTCAAATTATTTCACTTACCTACTAGTTTTTAAATTATTCAAAAAAATTAAAAATATTTTTTGAAGTTTAACACCCTGTATCTTTTTAACGAAACGTCCTAGATAAAAACTTTATAGGAAAGACTATCCTTAAAATTCATCAAAGAGTACGAGATTTCGTTTTAGGTCATCATTTGTGTATCACCCAGTATAATTACGTACAAAACTAATTGCAAGCTGCCTATTGGTACTCGTACATAAATACAAAGTCAAAGGACTACAATTAACTACATTAAAAAGTTGTCTTGGTCAAAATGGAAAATTGCTGTGGATGCGAGTTATTTTGACCGAGACCATTTTTTAATATAATTAGTGCGTGGTCCTTTATAATCTTATTCGCTTCAGTAATAGGGATCATTGGATTATTTTATGGCAAATTTCATATATTTTGATAAAATATTTGTTTTCATATCAAAGGTAAATTTCCCGTTGTTTCAATGATATTGATTTATAAAAATGGAGGCAAATACAGAGCTGTAATTGGTGATAGAACAGCAACTTTTTCATTGAAAATACAAAACTTGTATGTCTAACTTAACACCAATTCATATTCTTAGGAGCAAAATTTAGGTTATAATTCCTTAAAATCTACTTTGAACTGTGACGTATCATTTGGTGATAATAAATAATCCTATTATAATCTTGAATTCGATGTAAAAGATAGAACCAGCTTATAAAAACAATAACAAAGGGTATATTTTTCAGGTACTATGACAGAGATCGTGATAATTTATTAAAAACGGAGGATTTTAAGGCTCTAATTTTAGATCTAAGGAAAACTAAAAAATTAACCATTGATGCCCCCAGCGTAACGAAAGAGGCATCAGAAACTTTGAAGTAAGTGAACTAAAAGTTGCTGTTTCCATTTTAAATTTTACGTAGATATCTAGATCCACACGATTCGATTATCATGTGAATATAAATGTTATTTTTTTTTAATTATTTAGGAGTAACTTAATGTCTTTAAAACAAACGGAATAATCCGTTAATAGCAATATAAAGTACGGGGTGTAAACAAATAAATGAGAAAAAGTTAGGGAGCTATAAATCAAGCTATTTACAAGAGATTTTAAAAGACCATGTTTTCGACAGTTATCCAGTAGGTAAACGCTTTTTTGATAGTAGCAAAGCTGTACGTAATTTGTAATAACTACATTTAAGAAACGGATAGAAACTAAATTTTGTCTATCCGTTTGAAAGGATGGCATATTCTTTCATTCCCAACAAGGTTTTACCTCCTTAATTTTTTAGTACTAATTAATTTACATCCTATATAGATACTAGTCTTTCCTTATTATTTGATATTTTTCAAGGTTAATGGGTATGGGCGATAGTGCCAGCGTAAGCCTAATGGAGTTCTTGAAAGCCATTTGCGATTTGAAAATTAAGGGAACTTCTAACCTTCTCAGGTCTCCCAATCCAATCATGAGATACGTGAAAGATCTAGGGTAAGGAGCTTTTCCATATATGAACACTTGGTGCTTCCACTTCGTGATTCCGTATTCTTCTTCTTAGCATTAAAGAAGTCCCAAAAAGTGGCGCAGCACCTGCTGCTAACGTGCCTGCTAAGCCAGGTCCAGAAAGTAAGTCCTTTTTTTCACGACATTAATAAAATCATACTTAACTATAGATATTATTTATGTTTCAATTCTCTATATCTATATCTATATCTATATCTATATCTATATCTATATCTATATCTATATCTATATCTATATCGATATCTATATCGATATCTATATTTATATCTATATCTATATTTTGAAAGTGTATTAATGTATTTTATCATTACCTGCATATAGCTTTACAAAATGCAAACTATGGGTTTATCTTTTTGTTATTTTCAAAATGTAGGACTATGATATTATTATTTTTTTCTAATGAGGAATTTACTGAGTAAAAAACTCACTACTGGTAGGTAATACTTCACTGACCTAAGGAAAAACGTTGTGTACAATAGGGATAGTTAATTAAATCAATTTCAGCAGCTAAAACGTGATTCATAATAGTCAGTCACAAGTAAATAGGTCATCTAACTGAGTTGGGGGGAGACCTTTACAAAGACTTACGAAAAAAATGTTGCATATTTATAGTTCACATTCTTGAATTAAAATTTAATAATTTTTTCATATTTATTTATTTTTTACTCGACACAAATAACAAAGCCAAAGGGTCTATTTCCAAAAATGTATATAACGGCTTATTGTAGAATAAATAGAAAAATATAGCGATAAATATGTTTCTTAGCCATAACAGTGGCAAATGAAAAATCAATAAAAGTTACCGCGAAGACACCACAATGATTAATGAAAAGGACTTAAAACTATGCTTACGATGTGCACCATCGGAACACTTCGCCTTTGTTGGTAACGTAAATTGACGGAGTTCACTTACCACAGCAACATATATACTTGTGGCGGCTATGTGTACCACTGTGTACAGTAATACTGATAAAAATCCATAAATACACAACCAAAATATGATGCGTTATACTGAAACGTTTCTGTTATTAAAAATATGTATTTAGATGTGAGAGGAAAGATGACAGCGCCATCTCTTCGCCAGCAACCCCAATTAAACTACGAGGTTGCTGTTCACACGGTGAGAATACAGAAAAGTGGCAATGCGATAAATATCGACGAAATGAAACAACTGCAAGGTAATACGAGAATACGTGGTTAAAGTTTTACGCAATACAATTTTATTAGCGAGAAATATTTAAATCCAAACACCCAGTTGTACTTTTCTAGAGGCCGTTTCCATGACAACCCTGAAACAGCCGTACAACGAGCAAACAAGGAAGTTGTCCATGGATATATTCAGTCAGAGATCGGTTTCAAATGAACTTCTGAAGGGGCTAAGGTATCTGGCGTCGATCAACAAGACTAAAGATCTGAAGGCAAACTTTACCTGGGGTCAGCTAGATCCGAACACGTACGCTAGAAATCTGATAACCGTCTGTAACCAAGTGAGGGAAATTTTTAAGGTCGAGCCTAGGTTGTTGGAGCTGAGCTCGCCTATATACATAATGGGTAATATATTTAGTACAGTTTATCAGAAGATGTTGCAACTTTCTATCGAAATCGTTATGCTAATATGCCTAGTTTTCTTCAGACATAAATTGGAATGGGAATGGCCACCAGAATCACCTGATGTGTTATCGAGTATTTTGCTTTAGAAAAATGGGCAACATTTTATGAGCCTCTTAATGATTGTAACGTTAGCTGACCTGAAAAGGCTCATCAGTATAAAGAAATTAAAAAAATACTTCTCAGTGTTTGGATGTGATGATCTCTTCCATTTCTTATCTTTAAAGATATCATCTAAACATAATCAAATCTTTATCTTCTTTCATCAATGGCATTATCGTCAAATTTCTTCTGATTCACACTCATCTTCCGTAGTCGAACATTAAATTGATTCCTTCTCCATCCAGGTGATTTTCACGGTAATGTAGCGGACCTTCTGTACTTTGAAAGGACTCTTTGGCACATAGGACCTGGTTTGAACCCATGCGGTCTCCTTTTCCTTGGAGATTACGTGGACAGAGGTGCTTACAGCATAGAAGTCATATCCTACCTGCTGGCTTACAAGCTACAGTATCCAAGTAAATTGAACCTTCTAAGAGGAAACCATGAAATCAGGGAAGTACAGAAGATGTTCACGTTTTACAAGTAAGTATTTTAAACAATAAATACTTGAAATTGAATGGTCTATTTTCTTATTTTCCCTTTGAATTGTGTCTTGTACTTACTTACATTCTCAAAATGCGTAGGAATAAAAAAAGTGAATACTACAAATTATCTTTAAAATTTCATTATGATCATCCAACAGGGAATGTATTCTAAAGTTAGGAGACAAACTTGGAAGTGAAGTTTGGATGTCTGTAAATAACGCTTTTGATACTATGCCGATAGCAGCTACGATTGATGGCAAGGTAAGTAACAGATATGCTTCCAAAAACAACAATAGCTATAACGAGTTTTTCACTGATTTACCCTCATTTTAATAATACTTTATTACAGTTGAGACTTGCGTAAGTTTGTGACGTTTCAGCTTTTAAATGTTTTGAAATGAAATAGAATTTTCAGTTGTTTGTGTGAGAGTATGCCTCGTATGTGGAAAGTTTTCGCATCAAAGCCAAAACGAACTTTGACCTTAAGTCGAACTTACTTCGATATTCCGTTTGAAACTGGCAATAAATCCATCCAACTTTGAGATATAAAAGTTCATAGAAACAGATGTAGTCGATTTATGAAATATCATTCGATCTCTTATCGAGGTAAATCAATGGACGGCATATTTTCTAAAACGGAGAAGAAAAATATGATTTACAGCAAAAATTTGAAGTTGGAAATATTTAATTTCAAATATAAAGGTGTATTAGAACAATTGATTATTTAACTGATTTTACTACAATATTTAACAGTGTTGTAATGATTATATCTTATTGAAAATACTTTGCAGCTATTTTGCTGTCACGGTGGAATACCTCCTCCATGGTTATGTCCAGCTATAAGTGCTATAAACGACATTCCTGTACCATTAAATCAACCAGATACTCAGAGCTCTCTAGCTTGGGAACTAATGTGGAATGATCCAGTTAGGTAAGTTAATTTAAAAAAATATAATGTGTCATAATTCGATTACTTATTTTTGAAAATTTATTTACTTCTACTGAATAAATTTTGCAACTCAAAGTAATCAACAGGATACCATTATTTTTGTTCGAAAATTGAGGTTCTTAATATTACAATGGACAATTCGAAGTGTTTAACTTACCTTCCAACTTACCTTCCTCTTAAATTTATTAACAAAGTAATTTATATATTTTTTACTGTCATTTTCCACATTTTTCAGGCCAAAAACTGTGAACGATAAATTAACAATGGAGCTACTGGCAAATGAAGGTTTTGCGGTGAACGCAAGAAGGGGGACCGCCCATATCTTTAGCGTCGAGGCCTTGGAGAGGTTCTTGAAGACCAACCAATTGACCCACCTTGTCAGAGCACACGAGGTTGCTCAGGCCGGGTTTCAGGTGAGAAACGGATTTTTTTTATTCGGCAATATGAAGGTGATTGATTGTACAAAGCGTTTACGAACTTGCAGTTTATTTGTAATGGGAGATAGGTCTTGACAAAAGAAGCCGATTGCTGAAAACTTACCTTATACATACTCCATTCCAGTTTCAAAACAGTAGGCATTAAGTCTTATTTATGATCAAAATGTGAAATAGGCGCCTTTATTTCTATATTTGCTTATCGTGTAGAATGAGAGGGACGATTGAGACTTATTGAATTCCCGCCTTGGCTCAGTTTCTCGCTGAGAGGTGTCAGTGCGTGTCATAAGCGTAAAAGTGAGAACGACGTGTTATTTTCACATTTTAGTTATTCCAAAAACTGTTGTTAAAAATAGAATTGTGTGCTAGTGTTCCTGGACAATCTGATAACAATTATAGTTGTCGTAAACGACCGAAAATAACAGAAGAAGAACGTTGTATGATACCGGAGATTTCGAGCACGAAATGCGAATATAGGTATCGGTGAGTCATGCCGTGAAACGTGTAGCAGACGAAAAAATTGAAATTGACAGTGACATTAATTATGTGATCCTGAGAAAAATACGTGGACGTTATTTTAAAAATTAAATTAATTTAATTATTGAATTAAATTAATTAAAAATCTGTTTTCTCTCACATCGAACCTGTTTTAATGATTGTCATGAATAATACGCCTTACCAGAGTCGACAAATAGAAACATTGCCAATATCTGCATGTTGGAATCATCTCTATGCAAAGAAGAAATCATGGAATGGATGAATGGAAAATATCGACAAATCTTTATGTTGTTAAATTAAATAATTTTTGGAACCCTTTAAAATGATACGCACATGGAATTTCATTCCTCTCACGCCTTGCTCGTTGCACGGATCTTCATGTTGAGAATAAGTTAATGCTTACTATTTTGGAACCGGAGCACAGTAAAAGTAAAAGCGAGAAAAACAATTTTAAACTTTATTAAACTTTGAAAGAAATAGTTTGGTGCAGAAAGTGTAAACGGAAAAGGTGACAAAAATTGTAGGTACCTATTAATAATCTGCAAGTTTTTTTTTCGACAATACATCTATTGCTTACCTTAAAATTAGTTATTTCTTAACTGTCATTCTTGCGTATTTAAAAATTTCTTGCGTTTCGTTATTTGTATAGTAAAAAATTATTTCCAAGTTTGTAAACAATCATAAGTTGATGATCACAGACATGACGTAAATCTGTAATACGGAGTTTATGTTACTGACTGCTCCAATGAAATATCTGATATATTTCAAAATTATAGGTGCAACAAAAAGGAAAATTATTGACTGTCTTCTCATCATCGAAGTACTGTGGTGGTCAGAACGACGCAGCTTGTGTGATGGTGGACCAAGGAAAACTGAGAATTCTTAGATTGGAGACCGACTAAAATTTACATTGGAACAGAAGAGTGCGATGAAAATGTAACCTTGTATATCCTACGCTGTAGTTTCCACATAAGTATTTGGTTTAAGAAGTAAAATGTACCTGATTTTGTGAAGATAAAATAAATTTTTACATGTGAGCGTTAGCTTTGTTTACTTGTTATACTGATTAATAATGCCATTAAAAATTTTGAACAATTTAATTCAACATTTCCACGTGTGTATATCATTTGTATTTAACAATGAATATCTGCAGAACTTTAATTTCTAATATTATTTTTAATGTGCAGGCAGACACTTGAATATATTAGAACGAGTCGTATTCCAGTCGGTTTTTCAATGACAGGGTATTGACCATTTTTATTTTCTGTGCCACCTTTCTGGAGAGTCTTTTCAGATCGTAATTTAAGTGGTGATATCCAAAATTATACACTAACTAAAAAATATATTTTTCGATGCTGTTTGCCCTTTTGTATAGTACTTACGTGTAGAAAATCGATACAGTTTACAAATCCATCTTTATCCTTGTCAGTTGCATTGAAATAATTTCTTCTTACAGCTGTATTGCTTCTATCATCTAAGCATTCTAGAACGCATTCACTGAAATTACAAAAAAATTGCCCTTAATATCTAATAATAGTCATTTGTACACCCTCCCTAATATTTCAGTCTTAGTTCTCAGTAAAAATTAATATAATTTCAATGGAATTATAGTTTCCACGGTTATGTATATAAAATGTTGGATACTTACAATGACTGATAACTCAACATTTTATTATCGCCTTCGCAAAACATTAAAAACAGACTATGCAAGTAACAAATTGTGGATTCATTCCATTTTGGAAACATCTTTAACAAATCGTCTTTTACATTTTCGTACATCTTTCTTCTTTTTTCTAATTTTCTATTAAATCTGTCGTTGGATTTGTGGTGAAACTGAGAATCTACTCTTTTATCTTCAAATTTAAAAAGGACTTTTATTTTATTTATATGTATGTTTAGGTTATTTACCTGCTGTTTGTTTATATGCGCAAAAGGGTTTCTTTTTTAAAGGATAATAAAACAAACGGTTAAAAATTTTACTCGAAATGTCTCCCATATTGTCAATGAACTGTCACTAAATTAAATGATTAAAATAATCCCTATAGAAATGACAAAAAATTCAATTTTCAAATTTATTTATTCTTTTTGTAAGAACAAAAACATATAAAAGTCTAAAACTTAACAATACATAAATTTTGATATTGTTTGAGGTAGTTTTTAAGTAACAGGATGTAATCTACTGTTGTTCTTATACAGGGTGTTTCAGAAAGACCTCCCGTAAATACAGGGAGCGATAATACGACAAAAAATAAGATTTTTTTCTATTTCTTCTTGTTTTCGAAATACAGAACGACAAAATAAAATTTTTTAAATAGAATTTTTACGAAAATTTCCAAACGGTGCGAAATGTTTTTATGGAATTTGGTATTCGAGGGGTTTTTAAGGATGCCAACTAAGCTGGTCTAATTATTTTTTGGATATTTCATAGAGGGCGCTAGTTTATATTACATTTAAGTTCAAATTTTTTTAAGGTTAGGTTTTTTACCATTCGGGCTCCAATTTTTAGTACACAATTTTATTTTCTAAAAATAGTGTCCTCTTGTTAGAAGTTAGTAATATTTTAAACTCTAATTAACTTTATATCAAAATTTTAGTGATTGTTAGTGACTGTAGTTAGTAATGACTAATTGCAGTCACTAAAATTTTGAAATAAAGTCAATTAGAGTATAAAGAATGTATGCGTTGTTTATGAGACATCCATCAATAAGTTTTGACCTAAGCCTACTTTGAGAAAAGTCACTTATTTTATACACCGTAATATATTGTAAGAGTTCAATTAAAAGCCTTTTTTCTCGAAAACCCTCCACATTAGGAAGTTCTAACAAGAGGACATTATTTTTAGAAAATAAAATTGTACATTAGAAATTGGAGGCCGAATGGTAAAAAGCCTTACCTTAAAAAAATTTGAACTTAAAATCTAATAGGAATGTAGCATAACTAGCGCCCTCTATGAAATATCCAAGAAATAATTAGACCAGCTTAGTTGGCATCCTTAAAAACCCCCCGAATACCAAATTCCATAAAAACATTTCGCACCGTTTGGAAATTTTCGTAAAAATTCTATTCAAAAAATTTTGTTTTGTCGCTCTGTATCTCGAAAACAAGAGGAGATAGACATATAGTTCATAAGACAAAAAGTTCTTATTTTTTTGTCGTACTATCACCCCACGTATCACTTAAAAACTACATGGTGTGTATAATTATAAGGGAATTAAACAAATACATTATATGTTTACTTTAAATTTCAAAATTCTATTTGATTTTTATTATATTAGTTTTATATTATTCTAATATGACTACATGGATACAAATCTTATTCACAAGGCTAACAGCTTTGTTATTCTATTTTACTAATAATTATCTGGTGAAAAAAGAAGCCACATTTCTACGTCATCTTTTGTTCATTTAATACTACCAAAAAATCGTACCTACCCTATCATTCGGTTTGGATTTTTGTGAATAAGATTTTGAATTATGTTACAATAAAAAATTTCAACGTTTAATATACATATACACGATCACCTATGCTAACATTTTTGGTTCCAATTATTAAGTATATCTATTATAAAAATGGCTATACAAAATCACTAGCTCATATCCAGTACTTTTATAGTTCCCACTGTCTTTAAATTAATGATCTATGACACTAATTTACACTAAAATTAAGACACAATGATATCATTTTGATATGAAAGGTTATTGAAGAAGATATGGATTCCAAATTTTCACATGCACACAAGTGTTGGGTAACAATACGCTGCAAAACTGAAAGAGAGCAAGCTGTAATCATGATCTACATGCTATATGTATGTATATATAGAGGAGAGGATAGTTGGGGGATATTAGGAAGATGGTGTTACACTAAAATAATATTATTTTAAATTAAAGATGTATTTACCTGCATATGTGAACACAAGAAGCAGAAATTAAGTACAAAAAAAGTATCAGAGACATGCGTATTTTTTTATGCTGAATCTGAATTCGCAGTCGATTTACCAGGGCATTTTTTTTAGTAAAACACTAAAATAACCCTTTAAGTCATACATTTTTGTATTCATTTATTCAATATTTTTGCCTGAATTTTGTTATCCCAGGTTTTTGAGGTCACTGATTACGAATCTAAAGTCCGAATCCGAAAATTGCTGAGTAAAAGATGACGGATCCAATAAAACTTGTTATTCAATAGTTTTCAAAGTCGCTAATTACGAATATAGGTTTTAATTCGAAAATTCTTAAATCCAAAATGCCGGAGGATTGAAAAGCAACAATTGGTATTTATCATTCAAAGAAAAGCAATAAGAATTTAAAAAAAAATGAATCATTTGAGTAAAAATAGGCAGTCATCCGTCATCCGATCTTGGGGTGGATTTAACACACTTTTAGGCGTAAGTGTGGATTTAATTTGCATATATTTTTTTCAAATGCTTAAAATAATAGGTGTTTAAAAATGCTTTCTCAAAATACTTACAAATTTTTATATTTCATTATAAATCTTTTCCTTGTCCTCATTATTTCACCTCATTTTGAAGATGTTTTAGTGTTTTACTAAAAAATGATCTGGTAAATCGGTTTTTGGGTTACGGACTCGGATTCAGCATAAAAAAATACACAATTGTATGTATTCATGTCCCTGTTACAGAACTTTTTTTGTATGGCTACGTTATCTTTCATCAATAACGTATTTACTTAAAGATAATTATAACATCCTTGATCAAAAATACTATTTTTCTAGTGTAGTTAGATGAATGAATTTTTCAAGCACGTTTTTAAATATTCAATATAAGTAAGCTCCATAATTTTTAACTTGTCTCTTATTTAGCTTTGATTTTCAAGTTTCAATATTATTCCTGAATTTTTATTTTGATATAAATTATGTGATTCTGTTTCCAAATATGAACTACCTAACAAAGTATAGGTACTGTAAACTATCACATAGTTATTTTAGGCCTTGGCAAAAAATAAAATGACAGTTTATTTAACAATTCACAGTTTAAAATGACGGTAGCTTTATTTGGCAAAATCCATAAAGAAAATGTGGCTTTTTTCCCGATTTTGTAGTTTTATCAAATTTAGGTTCAAAAATAATATTCACTTTACAACATTATAATAAGCATTTTTTTTAGAAAGAAAGTAATTTTTTACTTGTAATTTTGTTATCTCTTACGAAATGTACATAATGCTTCAAGATAACAATTACATAAAAGCCAAATTAAGTTACATTTATACCATAAAAGTTAAAGAAGTGGTAAAAGAATTAAAATTTTTCTGATACATTGTATACATTTTTTGTTATTTGTTATTGTTAAACGGTATTTCTTACATTTAAATTACAAAAAAGTATGCCTTTCTTTCATTGGCTAAAGAAATCCGACTTAATTATTTAGAATTATTAAACTAAAATCTAGAGATTCTCTATTATTGGCTTTCCAATAAAAACATGCTGAAATATCCAACAGATTTTTTAGTTTATTAAAAAACAATAATAATGTTTTTGATTGATACGAATTTTTATCTCTGCCCTTGATTATAATAGCAAGGATTAGCCCGATGTCTGAAACTAGTATGGGAGGCGGTGCGGTATATTATTATTCAGTGGGCCGTATCTTAAAAATTAGTATCCAGTAGTTTACACAGAAGTTAGAAAAAATTACTAAAATTATAAGATCTACAATTTTAAATCCGAATGATTTAATGTGGAAATTTGTACAAACAAAAGATGTAACATAATAAATAAAATATTTTAAGGTAAAAACGAAGAATTGCTAATGCTTTCCTATAAAGAACATCCTTTACTTGTCTGCTGAATATAAAAAAAACACCTTCTACCTCTCAAATAAAATTTTTTGAAATAAAACTTTTCAAATACTTTTAAAAATCGAAGCATATTTCTGCAAAAGCGTTT